TGTGTGTGTGTGTGTGTGTTGTGTATATATATATAAAATGAGGAGAGAGTTTGATTTGTGTGTATCTCTGACCTCCGCCTCACCCCAGGCTGTGGGACAGGTGCCTAGCATTCCCCCTGCTGTATCCTGGGTGCTGCTGCGTTTGGAGCGAGAAGTTGGCTTTTGCTGAGGAGCATCACTGGTGGTTGTGGGTAGGCAGAGGAGCCCCAGGCCTGGGAGTCTGACCTGTGGCCTGGCATTGGCCCAAGTTGGTGCCTGTGGGGTGGGGCTGGCCAGGAGAGCAAAGAAGGACTCCTGGGCAGGGGTCTGGGGTCTGGCCGTGCAGCTGATGCCTGTGTTCCCAGCACCAAATGGCCCCCTGGCTTCTGGGGAGGGAGGAGGCAGGATCAAGATGGGGTTGACATGGGAGATGGCCAAGACCAGGGCAGCAGGATGAGGGTGTGAGCCTTGCTGTAATTCAGGCCCTGCAAGCATTACTGCAGACCTCGAATACACCCCCTGCTGTTGCCTAGACCACCTCCCCATCTTTGATCTGGACGCAACCCCTGCCCACATCACACACAGCTCCCAAAGTGCTCAGAATCCTGCTGTTGTCCAATTCAGTGTTCAGGTTTGTTCTTCCCGAGACCACTCTGAGAATACCAGGCCCCAATCCCTGCCTCGTGACCTGTCCTCATGCCTGGCCTTAAGCACTTTGCAGTTTGCCGGCATGGTTTGCAGTTACTGGAGAGGGTGGCTGCTTTCCAGAGGAGGAAGCTCATGCTGAGGCTGATGATGTCTCCCAAGGCTCTGGAAATAAGGGGTGGGCCAGGGCTCCATTCTCAGCCCAGCACCAGTTCTACCCAACGAGACCTCCTCACTTTGCTTGTAGGCAGCCAGACACCAAAGTAGGATTGTAACTCAGACAATTAGTGCTTGAGGGGAGGAGAAGGGCTGGGAAATGCAGTGGTGGGAATTGGAAACCAGACATTTATTAAGCTCCCTGCTGGGTGCCAGGCAGCCCTGTGCCCAGGCATTATCTCACTGAATCCTCATGGAAACGCCCCTTTCTCCCCACTTTGCAGATGAGGACGTGAGCCTCCCAGAGGTAGCCTGGGGTCACATACCAAATTAGAATCCCAGATGTCTGCCCCCCAGCCCTGTGGTCTTCAAGGAGTGGCAGGCATGAGGAGGGTTAGGTGGAGACAGTGCAGAGGCCCTGGAGGGAGGAAAACACACAAGGAAGGACATGGGCAGATGCTGCCTTAAGGAGCACTTTGCAAGGCCACCCTTGTGGCAGGCAGAGGTGGCCCGGCGAGGCTGCATCTTTAGGAGTCGCTGGGGGCAGCCATTCTTGCTGCTGCAGCTGTGGCCCTGCGGTGGAGGCACACACACTTCTGACATCAGGCACTCTGAGCTTCTGCCCTAGAAAGCTGCCAGGGCTGGGGGTGCGGGCCAGCCTGGGGTTGTGGAACTCAGCTGGACAGGCCCACACCAGGCCTTGGATATGGTTGGTGCTCAAAAAGTGATGGCTCCGGAGAAGAAAGCTGGGTTTGGGCATGAAGAGGGGCTGAGTGATTTTGGCCATGAGCTGCCACTGGGTTCCCAGGGACCAGGCTGAGCTACAACACAACCCAATGTCCTGGAGTGTCGGTTTCCTGGGCACCCCTGCAATCATTTCCTTATGCTGGTGACTCTCAAAAACAGGAGCCTGCCCCATTCTGCAGGAATTCCCGGCCCAAAGCAGCCCTTTGCAAGTCATTTCCCCCTCTGGCCTCACTTTTGCCATCTGCCTGCTTCTGGGACAGGTCAGGAATATCCAGGGTGCAGATGCCTTCCCCTCCACCATGGCAACTTGGCAGGGGCATTTGAGGCATGCAACAGCCCTGCAGCTTCAGACAAAATGTCCTATTTGCTGAACTCTACAGGGTGGGGGTGATATCAGCTCCCATGCTTGGCACTGCCCACATCATCCTATACCCCGGTGGGATCTGGAGCTGGCTGTCCCCTGTCTCACCCTCCTGTGGGCTCCCACTCACCGTTCCCCTACTGTCTGGGTCCAGTGGTCAGGGCTCATGTCTAATAGGCTACCACTCCTCTACCCTGCTAGGCCCCCTGGGCCAGCCAAGTGTCAGGCACTGTTGCAGGCCTGCTCCTTTCCTCCCTCCTTGAAGCATCCCAGCCTCCTTTGGGCCATCTCCCCACCTCTATCTCTGCTCAGACCCTTGCTTTTGGCCGTGACACTCTACAGCACCCCCATTGAGCCCCTTTATCTCCAGAAGCAAACCATCAGCACCATGAATTGGCCACAGCCGCCTCCATGCCTGGCCCTGTGCTAGATGCCAGGACATCAAGATACATGACATTCCACCCCCACCTTCCAGAAGCTCAGACCTGCCGGCAGAGATGGCCTTGATTACAACAGGTTTTATCAAGAACCTGCTGTGCATCCAGTGCTGTGCTAGGCACTGACATACATCTGTGAACAAGATGGACAACCCCTGTTCTCATAGAGCTTATGTTCCAGTGGAGGGTATAAGACGTTATCCAAATCAACAGGCATATCAAGGGGGTCATAAGTGTGAGAAGACAAAATAAAGCAGGGGCAGGGTTGAGGGGGAAGAATGTGATGGCATAGGGTGGGGAACTGCCTGGTCAGGGAGGGACCTCTCCATCAGAAGTGAGCTATGGGCTGCACGTGGTGGCTCACACCTGTAATTCCGGCACTTTGGGAAGGCAAGGCAGGCAGATCGCTTGAGCCCAAGAGTTTGAGATCAGCCTGGGCAACATATCGAGACCCTATCTCTATTAAAAAAAAAAAAAATTAGCTGGGCATGATGGCTTATGCCTGTAGTCTCAGCTACTCAGGAGGCTGAGGTAGGAGGATCACCTGAACCCAGGTCGAGCTGCAGTGAGCAGTGATCATGCCACTACCGTCCAGCCTGGGCAATAGAGTAAGACCTTGTACCAAAAAAAAAAAAGTGAGCTAAGTTGTGTAAGGGGGCCAGGTGGACTGTCAGGGACAGAGTATTCCAACAAAGGCCCTGAGGTGAACATGCTTGAGAATGAGTGACAGGCAGTGAGGCCAGGGCAGAGTGAGCCAGGCAGCATAGCAGGAGGGCTGGATCACGTGGGGCAGTGGCTCTGCCCATTAGATCCACCTGGGAAGTGTTTAAGATGCGCTGCCATCCGGCCCCAGCTCAGATTGATTCAGATGACCCTAATGTGTAGCCAGGGTTGGGAACCGCTCACTCTTGCGGGGGCTTGTGGGCTGTAGTGGGGGTTCTGGATTTTATTCTGAGATGGGAAGCCACTGGCCTGTGTTTTGAAAGGCTCAGAGGGTCTAATAGGAGATGTCAGTCCCTATGAGGACGATGCTGGGGCAGGGAGAGGAAGGGTCTCCCGTGTGGTAGTAGAGCAGCAGCAGGTGTGGTGGGAAGGGAGAAGGGAAGCACCTGCTCTCCTGTGTTGCTGTGAGAGGGACTGTCATCCTAGTCCCAGGGAGGGCCACAGAGGCTCTACGGTTAGGTAACCTGCGTGGCCACACAGGGAGTAAGGTGGACTGTCAGTTCCAACCCAGGTCAGCCTACCTGAGCAGCTGCCTCTGGGCAGGTGTCAGCGCTGGCACGGACATCCCACCTCAGTTGTTTGCATGGAGGATGGGCATCTGGTTTCCAGGGACTGGGAAATCTTTGCCTTCTGGTCACCTAAAAGCATTGTCTGACAGGCAGCCAGTAGGCACCTGGGAGTTGGACAAAA